TTTACAAGGCAACTTGATCCACACTTCTTTGTTAAGGTAGTGTAAGGTTGTATCAAGAATCGAGGGGGATTAAACACAAACATTTTCTTCTTTCATATTTTGTAAATTTCAATTTTTTTTAAATTTATATACATGTACACTGTTCAATACAAAATTATGCGTTTACAACGTAAAATATTTGAGAATGCAGTTCAATTTTTGATTGAGAATAACAAAATGCAAATGTATATAGGGACACAGAATCAGAGCTGGACAATCAAGAAAAATTATAGTTTACGTATATTATTCTACTGATAGTTCTTAATAAATATGTTTATATTTGGATATTATAATATGTTCAGATTTATATGATGTAACAATTACTAGCCCTCTAAATGGTCGTGGTCCATCATTTTAAAAATCATACTAAGTTATGTTGCTCTAGACCTTCCACATGAACATATTAACATTTATTTTTTTTCTACATTGGAGTATAAAAATAGATCAAGAATTTCCAACAGCTGATATGATTTAGCAACCCTCGAACTACAATGTTCACTCGCCTTAATGCTCGGGGAATACTGCTTTTGGGGTAGCTTAATTTTCATACTGTCATCAAAACAGCAATTAGTATATGATATTATTAACTTTTTATATGAAGAAGCATGGAAAGACAGATAATAGGTAAAATGTCTTCGGAATTGTGAAAAGTTTATCTTAATAATAGAAGTAATTAAACAAAAATCCGTGTAATAAAAATCCTAAGTCATTAACAAAAATATCCTCCAACTTTAATTGCATTTGAACATTATTTTATGAAAAAAAAAACAAACTGTAAATATATTTTTCTCGAATCAGAATTAAGCAGTCTGAGTTTTTACGAAATTCGAGTGTATAAAACGTCATTTGAATTGCCATTTTGAGCTAATTAACACATTTCAAATTTAAACAAAATTTTCCGAATTTAAGTGATAATATCAGTGTTCTATTGTCATTTTACATGGTTGTACTACGCTCAGTAAGATATTCACAAATCTTTTCTCCTATCTAAACGACATTAAGAAATAATTTGGAAAAGAAATGAATATCCGCCATTTTGAATCGCCATTTTGACTTTTAACTTACAGCTGCATCATCATTCAGTAGTAGAATAGTGAGATGTAGAGGGGAAAATACAAATCTGCAGTGTATGGATATTTTCAAATGTAAAAATCTGAACAAAAAAGAATATAGAAACAATAGACAAATAAATCAGAGAAAATTCGAATTAAGTGTAGAAACGACTGAATTTTCTGAGTTAAATTAATAATCTTAAAATTCTATTATATTTTTTATAGTTTTATTACACTCAGTGAGATATTCACTCATTATTTCTCCATTTTGAACGACATTAAGAGAAAATTAGAAAAATTTGATGTCCGCCATTTTGAATCGCCATTTTGACCTATTTAACGCCATTTTCATGAAGGCCAGCATATTTTTTCGGATTCAGCATACTCGAATTAGGTTTAAAAACTATGCTGGACCAAATAATAATTATTTGCCGTGAGAAGTTATTTCTAGCCTTCTTTTTAAAAATCAGGACTAGACTATCTTTTAATCTGCCATCTTTTAAAAGGTATTAAATATATAAAAGACTCCAAAGTGCGATAGTGACGCAAAGTCCGTAGTCTTGTCAAACCCCGATGGCTCGAGCTCGCTGTCTTCAGGGACGCCAAAGTCCAATGGTCACGCCAAAGTCTTATGGATCATTTCCTGTGAAACTCAAAGCGATTAAGTGCAATAGTCTGAGACGCCAAGATTCGATTGTGCGGAGGACTAATCATTGCTTATAACGTCACTATAGTTCGACGTTATGACATTGTCCTGCATTCAAAATTAATTGATTCAGTTTTCCTCTTGTATACAATTTTCATGATTTTTCTTATTGATTTCCCCCAAGAGGGGTATGAGGGTTAGTCCTTGTACATCATTCGTCTGAAAAGGGTTAGTCTTTGAAGACTTATGTGATTCTTTGAACAAACATGAAATATTCGAGGGTTAGTACTTGCACACAATTGAACTGATTATATATATACATATAATCCAAAAGTAAGAGAAAAAATCCACACAAGTATGTAAAAAGAAAAAAAAAAATAACAGAACGCCGATTAAAACTCTACCGGTTTCAATTGTATCATCAGGAGTTTTTTCACTATCAAACACTTTTTGAAATATTTCGACCGAGCTACCGGCCTTCATCATTCGTGTTTATTTGAATGCATAGCAACTCAACAACGAACAACGTATTACGACGTCACAATGAACATTACAATTGAGAGGCAACGTCATGCAATGAAATTGCGCCAAAAACATCTGAAAATATTGCGAGAGCAAAAATTGTACTTGTGTAATGACAATTTTTATAATACAAAATAAATTATTTAAATAAGGGGTAAATTAAAAAGATAATTTTAAAGTATATTTAAATGCATATCTATAAAAATAATTATCTCGATATCACACAAATGTTCATAAATTCAATTCAAAGACAGAAGTGTTTCTTTTTGTTGATACCAAATGGCACATAAGTGTTCAACTTTTTCTTCCACAGATTTTCTCTATATTTACGATAAATGTCATTCTTATACAGTTTTTCAATGCCTATTATATCATAATCTTCTACTGTATGTACACCCGAATTAAAACGTGTAGCCACAGGGTCATTTGTTTCCCTTCTAATTAAAGAAAAATTCAAAACATGTCTTTGATATAAACTATCACCAGTTTCTCCGACATACACTATTTTGTCACACTTTTTACAAAAAATTCCATAAACAACATTCCTAGATTTACAATTAATATAATTTTTTTTACTTGAAAGATGTTTCCATTATTTTCTTCAAACTGGCTGGTTTTCATAACAAATTTACACAAAATACATTTTTTAGCCCCACATGGCTCACATAAATTTCCTTTCTTAAAAATTATGTTTTTTATACACTAAAATGTCTTTCAAATTTTTGTCTCTTATATAAAGTGTAGGAAACAATACAATTACACCTGAAATATCACAATAAAATGTACGAAGTTTAATTAAATTTTCTCCTATAAAATGTAGGAAACAAGACAATTACGCCTGAAATATCACAATAAAATGTACGAAGTTTAATTAAATTTTCTACTACAAAATGTAGGAAACAAGACAATTACGCCTGAAATATCACAATAAAATGTACGAAGTTGAATTAAATTTTCTACTATAAAATGTAGGAAACAAGACAATTTCGCCTGAAATATCACAATAAAATGTACGTAAGTTTAAGTTAAGTGTAACTTCAAGCGAATCGATACTTTTTGACGCAAGTCATTAGGTCATAAGCTACCCAGTTTATACAATAAAGACAAATTTTTCATCCAATCAAAAAGTGTTTTACAAGTATTAAATTGTTTGTTGATAATTTTGCGCCAAGATCATAAACGACGTAAATTTTAAATCAAGTAACGAAATGATTCAGAAATAAATCATTCATTTTTAGTTTTAAAAGTTGATATCCATTGTTTTGAAAAGTCTTATACTTTAGATACATTGTATCTTGATCGTGATTGTTTCTAAAAATCCAAGGCAAAACCCCTACATGTATCCTATTTTAAAGATAAAATGATTTTAAAAAAAACTAATTCAACTTTGGTGAAAATACTTATTATCTTACTGCCCTGTTGAGTTTTTAGAATAAAAGAATAAAGGAAATCATGCACAAACGACAAAAATATTCCAAACCAATTCAATCTTTCTTTCTCAACAATGTTTCTACAACCTTAACTCTCCTTCGATTAATCTATATACAGTAAAGTATCCCAAGTCAACAAAGTAAACTTCTTGAAGAAACGTCAAGGCCGAGCAATAAATGGTGAAATTATCAAAATTTAAACAACATGTGGTCGTTAAAGTCCAGATTAACTAGGGGAATACAAGCAAACAATCAGTGTTCTTTGTGTTTCTTCGATCGTTTTTGGTTTCTGACTGATAAAGAACAAGGGGTTTAAAGGATTGGTAATAGAGAAGAGACCAGAAATTAAATGCACAAATCGAACATCCCTCGTACAACATAGTCTTAATATGAGGTAAGTAAATTAAAGGGCGAGTCTTAAATGAAAATAAATAAATATTTTGATGAATTCTTTTTTTCTCTTTCTCTCTCTATTAGAAAAGAAAAACTATATTTAAATCATTGTTATTAAATTCTACTGTGTGAAGATGTGATTTGATGATTTTGTTTATTTGGGTCAATCCTACCTTCTTATCTTATGTGACAAAAATTAGCTGTAGAAATAAAGATATATGCAGACTTTTCAGAAAGTTTTCAACAATTGATTGTTTTTTAACTTAAACATGTATAAATAGTAACAATCACAAAGAATGACGATTTGTCTGCACGTTAACAGTTTCAGTCACTCGCATTTCGGTTCTATTTATATTAATTTAAGATGAATTAATAATATAAGGACTCGTTCTTTTGTCTTTGTTAAGTAATATTATTTTGTACATTGATCTTTACATTTTTTGACAATTTTAACAATCAATATTGTTTGGTAAAACTACTTTATCAATCCTCTCTTTAGTTCCAATTCTGCACTCGGATTAGCGTTTAAAAGTTTTTTTTTTCCTTTTTTCTTTTCTTTCTTTTTTGGCAAGATTACGTTTTGGTGTCGTTTGAAAAAATATTTTATGTATCAGAAGCGTTTTTGTTGTTATTCAAGCTCAGACATTGGTTTGATGTAATATATTGATATCAAATTTATTATTGTTATCACTGGTATTTATTTTAACTTATCAAAATCACCATACAATCGACTTACGAAGAAACGTACACTGGTATACAGACGAGTGAAACAAACATAGATAATAGATTAAGGGAATATATGATATACATGTAACCATTTAAAAACAAATTTTAAGGAAGAAACTTTGAATTTATCAGACATTTTACTTTAGCCAACCTTGAAATTACTTTATTTAATTTTTTTCCTGGTGTGGCTGAATGGCGGGCAACAAATACTACCATGGTTTCCGCGAGGATGACGGCCCTAGCATTTCTAGGAATGGAACTCCACGTAAGTTGACTTACTGAATTATTGTTTTAAGTCCCGGTCAGGTATTCTCACATATATGTACTCAGGCCGGATATGATTTGAATGTATTCTTTCAAAATTAGTAGCTCCGTTTCCTGGCTCCAGGGTCATAAAATTTAGACGAGCTCACTTGTGAACTCATCCTCACTTTCACAAAAGGAATATATAAAGATGTTTGTTGTTTTGAGCCCCTATCTATTTTTCCACATATGGAGTCGCCACCTCTTGCCGGTGGAAAACTGCAAATTTATACTTGGCACTCAAGGCCATTGAGATATGAGTGGTCTTTTTCATGCCAACACCTGCTGTGACATGGGACCTCGATTTATTTGGTCGCTTCTGCAAGACCTGTCTCCACGTCCCACAACGGGGTCGAAAGTGCGACATAAGAATAAACTTCATACTCCGCGACTCTAATGCAAACACTGGGATCATCTGAGTGAATTGTTAATTTTTATGCCTCCGAAGCCTGACTTGACTTTAATGGACATTAGATAAATTTTCTATTGCATCACTCCTACTTGAAGTTTGTTAACGAAACAATTGCTTGACATAAATTTATTCGATACGAGGGTTGTCCCAAAAAGTCGTAGACAGGGAAAACAGTTTAGTTTCTCTTTTCTAAATTAAATTTCTTTTCATGTCATAGCAAAAAATAACATTTTTTGATCATGCATTTCAAGTTTCATGATAATATCACATTTAATAAGAAAATTATGAAGAAATAAAGAAAGCATGTAAGTGTACATCGGCGCACGAAAGCAAGCGTAATTTACGTTTCTTATAGCGTCATTATCTTTTTTTCTGCTTCACACGCGTCTGTTAACATCCAATATCTTTTTTAAGTGAAAAAAAAAAACCCACTATTGACTATGTGACTTATCTAAATTCAGTACTGTCCGGGTTTTTTGTGGGTTGTTTTTTATCAGATTCAAATTTCAGTTGTAATTTAGTCGAAGGATCACCTTAAATTGTTTGACGTCATTCGTGTGCCAGAACGTTGTCCAATTTCTTCGTTTAACAAACAGTACTCTACTTTTTACATGTGGTAACTATTCTTGGTATAGAGGATAAACTATCATTGAGTCTCATAGCATTTAAAACATTTTCTCTAGTAAAATCTAGTGTGTAATGTTTCTTCTGTACTCTTTGTTTGCCGTCGCATGTATATATCATCATATATATTGCGCCGGGTACGCGTTTGACGACGTCAATTTCTTCAAACTCAATTCCGACAATACTTTACAAATTATGACACCAATTGTCTGTTTTAATGCAATTTATATGAAAATTTGACATGTTATTAAAATTTTTATTCTGGTTTCACTGATTTAAATTTGAGTTCAACTTTTTACATAGTACCAAAGAAATAAATGCAAATGTAATAGCTATATACACAAGTTATTCTCAATTTTGTTCGTGCGCCGACAGACCATATCGGCCTTCATATAAATCACAATTACAAATTAACATGAAAGACATATATTTAAAAGTTCACAAATTTCAAGAACATTGGATATATATTGACTATGCAAAATTTGGATAGCATTGGTTGCATGTTAACAAAGTTATAAACATTGTCTACCACTTTTTGGGGCAACCCTCGTTTGTCTTCTTTCCCAAAATACATTGGAACTAAAAATTATTGGTAAGACCCTATCGTGACCATACTGTTCGAAAACGAATCCCTGATGTGAAATGCGCAGTTTGTTTTCCCGTAGATATAGAATTGCTGATTACCGACATAATGTGGCCAATGAGGTTGCAACATGCAAGCAGTCTCCAGTCAAATATAAATATAAATTGCTATGTATATCTTAGCAATGTCAGTCAGAAACTCCTTAGAGCTTGTGTTATTTTTTAACTACCATACTGATTTTAAATAAAGCTTATCTTATCTTATATATATATGATACAAAACAATTAACTATCAAATAACGGAAGTCAAATAATGTCTTGGTTTTTATACTCACTCTCTCCAACTTCTGGTTGCTCAAGTTTTCTGAAAGTGTCGTTTGCTTGCTATTAACTTGTATCAAAGCACACATCGTTTGCTAATTTTTTATTTGAAAATTTGAAAGACTTATGACTTTAATATGACTTGTCTTAATTTGCAAATAAAAAACAATAAACGACATACGAGGGTTGATCCAAAAATTCGTAGAATTTCTTTCTAAAATTTTATCGTGATTTTATAAAAGCAAACAATAGGCATATTTATAAAATACAGTCATAATGCAACAATACTGGAGATTTCACCACGTTCCAATTACCAAATAAGGTCACACGAGCTTTCTGAAAATAGATAGTTGTGAAACCCGGGGGAGACTTCGATGTAACGTCAAGTAAGGTGTGTCACGTCACATTATAGAAGCATCTCACCCTAGCGTCCAATTCGAGCAGGTAATTCCACAAAATGCTGCCCTTTTCTGTATTTTCCCATATTTATAGGCCTGGGTATCCTCTCGCACCAACTTATCTTCATTTTTCACTCTTATTTCAAAATATCCCCCATCTTTCCATATGATGTTCCGATTTCATTATCAAATTCAAGAACAGTACATCAGCCGACAACATCTATTATCGCTTTTAATTTGCCAAGGGGGATAAACACTTAAAACAGAGCCTCAAAAAGCCGGCCACACCTTTAATCAATGCCCATGGAAGTTCTATTTTTCTTCTTTTTTTACGACAGTGGAAAAACCAGTAACCAAATGTTTTTCCCCCAGTCTATATCAATAATGTACGCATTTTAGATAGAGTGATCCCGTGATTGTCACAAACCTTATGACTTGACCGAAATTTGACGTTGTGTAACAACCGAAAGATGCACAAAAAATTATCAACTTATAAACAAAATATCCAGTAAAATCCGTAAAACTCACATACAAAGGTTTATAAAAGATCAAACAATCGTAATAATGCCATAATTTTCCTTTGCTATAATACAAAGGGCGGTTTTATTCTCATTTCAAGCATTAAGAATTAAAATGATAATAAACACGTTGATGTCTCCCCCGCATTTCAAAACATCCGTTTCTATGGCAACTGCTGTAGACTTACTATCACAAATATTTAAAATATTTTTTTATTTAAAATATTCAACAAGTGTCTATATTCTCATTTGTAATTTTCAACCAATTTCACGTGTAAATAAATAAAATATACAGAAATTCCACGAATTTTTGGATCAACCCTCGTATGTGCATTTTCCTTTTAAGCAAGTCTATGTCTAAAGTGTATTCCTCAGTCCAATTCCACTAATTATTCAATCATATCTAATAACTAATTTTTCACATTAAAAAAAAAGATCGAGTATCCCATGCAATCAGTGAGCTGTCACAAGAAGAGGGGAGAGAATTCCAGGAATTCAGGAGAAGCATGGGGTAAAGATAATACATTTTTTCTAAAATATTGTTTCACAAAAGAAATAGAAAATTAAATAAACTTGAAAGAGATATTGATTTGAAGGGTTGAAAAAAGCTTTGAATTTAGTCATTAAGCATTAAGTGTAAAGATTACGCCAAAAAGATAATTCATACATATATGTCCTGTATTGTTGTCGCACGTTTGTTCCTGATTCCAGTTCTGGTTTTACTGATAGGATTGTTGGAAGTTTCACAAAACAAATGGTCAAGTTAGCTGTGGAACAGCTCAAACCCGAATTCGAGAGGATGGCCATCGAAGCAGCCGGCAAAGCACTCGAGAACAAAATGGTCACAATTAAAGAAATGCAAAACGAACTTAACAGAAAGGAACAGGAGTTGAAGAGATTGCAGCTGGAGAAAAAGCTCCTGCAGGCAAAGTTTGAAAAAGAGAAAGTAAACCGTGACTTGGCGTCTATTGTTGATCATAAGGAAAAAGAAATTAAGAAACTAGAGGCGGATATAGGAGGATTGCGTGGAAAGCTACGGAAAAAGGCTGATGAACTCCGAAAAGAAAAGGACCGCGCAACAGAAGAGGAACAAAGACGTGTAGAGATAGAAACCAAATTCAACACAGAAATAGATAAGCTGAAAAGAGAATTGGATCGTGTAAAAGGTCAGCTTGGTCAGATCCGGTCTGCAAAAAATGTTGGGGACGAGGAAACTCGGAAGCTGCGAGATCGTGAACGGGAATTGTTGCAGGAATTAGAGGATGTGAAAAAACAACACTCGCTGAGGTTTCTGAGGAAAAAGCTTGGAAACTGATTCCCTTTATTTGTAAACGGACTGATGTTTCGCATGTACACCTTTATAAATGACTGTATCTTTGCATTTGATTGCTTAACAAGAAAAGAAGAATCTTCAGACACCTAGTACTGATTTTCATTTCGCATTGCCTCCTATGATGGTGTCAAAATGCTTTTTAGTGATTTATATAATTCCTAAAATTTTGGAATAAAAGTGAACATATACATTTATTCAATATCTGTATATTAATGAAACAATGAAACAGCCATGTATTTTCATTGTTTTAATAAAACCTACGAGGCCTAATCTGAGATAACTTTTAGATCATATTTTGATCGCCGTTTCATAACTGCTAGTGCATAAACCAATGTAAAAGGTTTATAATGGTTCTAATACTTTTTAAATCCAAAATCATTTTTGTTGATCAGTTCAAGGAATAAGAAATGTACCAAATACATTCAAATTCAGGAGAAAATTGAATTTTTTTGCTGTCTTGGAAAATTGATAATTTTAACGGCAATGTTAATACTCTTTGAATATTACATGTGGATATACTTTAATATATATTCAATAACTTTGATATGTGGTTTATTCATCTTTTATGTTGCCAGTGTATATGCTTCAATAAATTCTGCTTCAAATATTAGGAAATATGAATGATCATAATGTTTCTCCTTTATTTAATGAAGAACAATTTCATATAGAGACACAGAATATACCAATTGACGTTATCATAGAAAATGCAGCACGTTCCAGAAAAAATACAACAGCCATCTTACTAATATTTGATTTTTTGACAAATGTTTCCTTTCTAATGCTTGCAATTAAAATGCTTGGATGGGTTCGGTCAGTGTTTTATTAATCTGTACGCCCCTTACGCGGGCGACGTGGCTTCGATCTCTGTGAATTTTAACATGAATATACATTCCAGGTGCTGTTTGTATCTGAAAAAAATATTTTAAAGAGCACAAGTAAGCTACGAGGGTTGATCCAAAAGTAATGTCACAGTGTCTATATCTTTTATATTTGGCGTCATATTATCAAATATAATATACCAAAAGATGCACAAATATAAATCTAAGTAAACTTTAATTTTTCATTCAATAACGTTTAACTAAATTTACTTTATAGATGTTTAAATCATATAACATAGTGGGTGTCCCCCGTCAAAACCGAACGTCACAAATTAAAGTGTTACTTTTTTAGTATAAAAAAAGACAAACACATTAAAAAGCATTTTTTAAAAGCGCCTAAACGCAAAATACTTTAAAAGACAAAAATTTACATTATTTTCTAGTCTTAAATTGAAAATTATATGACATCACTGCTATTTTTTATGAAAAACATCGTTGATTTATTCCGGTGCATTGAAAAAAGGAAATGTCAAAATGGACAAAAAAAGCCAAAACAAACTGTAATGCATTTTTGCTTCAAAATGGAGAAATCGCCAGTAGAGACAGTTACGTTGATTCGCCAGACTTTCGGAGGAAAGAATGTAAATAAGAGACTTGTTTAGATGGTTTCAGCGATTTTGGGTGGGTGATGGGTCATTGAATGCTCAGCAGATGACAAGAAAACCGAAAGATGGGAGGGCGGACGGAAATGTTCAATGGTGTGTGACGTTGTCAAAAAGAAAGACGGATAGAGCGATATGTGAAATTTTAGGTTGGTCTTTTACTACTTTTCAATGAATTTTGACCGAATTAATTATGAAAAGAGTGATTGTACGATAGGTACCAAGGGTAAGAAAGTGAAAATTGTGAACGTGTTCGTGGATATCAAATCTCAAATATTTTTTTAAATGAAACTAAGGGAAGCGTTTAAATGTATGACTGCGCGTATCCGTCATATGACGTTATTTAGGTGCGGCGACTACCATAATCGCACGTTGTATATAATCCGATATTTTGAGAAGTATTAATCATGTTGAATTGAAATTTTCAGGTCTGATTTGAAATAAATGTAGCTTGCATCATTTGTAATTTTGTTGTTTTACGTCGACGGGTAGCGATTTTATCGAAGTTGTGACATTACTTTTGGATCAACCCTCGTATTTGTTCTCTCATGATTCAGTTTGCCCTTTACTGATTTTTGTTTGAAAATTAAAATAAGTATTTTAGGTTTCAAATAAAACTCAGTAAACGACAAGTTTGTTGAAAAAAAGCAGCTAAATAATAAAATATTGAACGTTGGAATACAGGATGTCATAAAATAACAATTGTATTAAATAGTTGGCATCCTCTGCCGCATAATGATATCGTTCTTTTTCTGGGTTCTCTTGATTTACCAGAGATGATGGGAACGTACTTGTCATCACCAAATCCAATACAATTGATAGTGAACATAGAAATGAAAAAAATAGCATTAGGAGTTGAGAATGTTGTTCTATTAATGCATTAATTTATGGTAACAAGAGCTGCAATTGCAATTTATAATGATATTTCTCTTATTAAACACCGTTTTATCATGAGCGGTTACAAATATTCAATTTACCTTAATGAAATAGCTCATCCCAAAGGCAACTTGTGTTCTGAAAGATATCGCAGAAAACGGGGGCAAATGTTTTCCTGCGTTATATCCATTTGGCAATTTTCTTTCTATATCACTTTGGAGCTTAAATCAAACAAAACAAATGCAATATGTTTTTACACAGGAAGAAAAAGTGGCTCACATAAATTTTATATAAAATTCATATGATTTCCATGTGTATATAAAGCATTAGAAATAAATGAAAAACAAGACTTTTGAAATTTATACAAAAACTTTGTGATTTTGCCATAACTTTCCCATGAATTTTACATGGAGAACATATCACATAAATATCGAGGAAAGAAAACTTCACATGAAAATTCTAAAAATTATTATACGAAACATATGGAGATAACAATCAGTTAGCACTTGACTCAATGATAAACTGTATTTGCTGACAAGGTCATTGTATTCACCATAAAACGTACGAAATGATAACTTTAAACGGGACTGCTGATATTTTTGTTTCATTAACTTGTTTATCAATAATTTACTTCGTTTTAAAAGTTGTTCATACGTAGATTATGCTCTTGCATATCAAATCAACTGAGATATATAAACTCCGTAAACAAGTAAAGAAGGTACTAAGTATATTGCTGCATAAGTAAGGGAAGATGACGATTTAAAGTTTACGAGTTAAAGTCATCATGTTTATCATAGAGCTTGGTTGTTAGAGTACCATTAACGTTTTTTTTCAAGTAAAATATCTAATTATGAAAGAAATGTGTCAGGCTCTGTGGTATCTTTCATCTCAAGTTCATCACGATAGATCGCATTGACATAAGAATGGAAGTCACCATTGTTAATTGACAATATGTCGTCGATATATATCTAATTAAATGTGGAGATGAAGGTCACAGCAAGTGTTTTATTTTTCTTTTCAAGCATAGGATTTTGCACAAACATTGCTTCATATGATTACAAAAAAGGTCTGCTAATCAAGGGGCACAATTGGTACCTATGGGAATTCCAATAGATTGTTGTAAGACCTGGTCTCCAAAAACAACGTAGATATTATCAATTAGAAACTCGAGCATTTTTTAATGTCATCTTTAGTGTACTTGTGTGTACAATCAGAATGTGATTTAACAAAATAATTTTGCAAATGACCAGTGACAAGATAATTAAATTTTCGAGTTCTATTTTTATTGAAAAAGAGCAGTCATCAATGATATTTTAAAAAGCGCGGACTTTAATTTAAATCTTATTTAACGTGGGCAATAGTTGTGTATGTTGAAAAATCGTAATTTTTTATGCTGTTGATTTTGATAAAATCCTGTGATTTCATATTGTCTAAAAGTTCCATTCTCCTCCACTGCTGTTAATACCTTAGTGAGGTGCAAGAAAAGAGGCTTGGTTGAACAATTACAGGAATCAAGAAATATGTAATAAGCGAGCTGTTCATATATATATTTTAATAGTGTAGACAGTATTTGAGTGACAGAAACGTTCTATCAGATGAAACAATCTGTAAAGAAACGTTTATCTAAAAATCAGATGAAACAATCTGTGAAGAAACGTTTATCTGTAAAAATCTTAACAAAAACTTTATCAAATAAAATGTTTGAAGGTCAAGGAAATACTTTACGTTGCTTACCCTGTGAAAGCAGAGTTAAGTAATAAAAGAAATTAAAATCCTAACAAAGGAAATTAAACAACGAGAGTAATTCTTTAAAAAATTAATTTCAAGTATTAGAAAAAGGATTTAATGATTTGGAATTGGATTAAACTTTGTGAAAGGTTTAGGAATATTATATTTTAGAAATTCTTGACACTACATGTATATGTTGACGTTACATTGCTGTTAAGGGTGCTCCAAGGGCACAAAACATGTTGATTTTAAAATGAAGTAAATTGATTTTTGTTAAATCGAATGGAATGGAACATCGCATATCAACAAAACAAATATTTTACATGTAATATTTGTACTTATTTTAAATTTCTAGTGAGTAATATAACGAAGATTGACATCGTCAATGAACTTTTCGAACAACCCTCGCATGAGTATAAGATGGATTGCCTACGTACAAGACTGTTTGTGATTTAAACACAAATAATTCACTCTAAACTTTAAAAGATTCCTTATATTTACATTTTACTGTCCTATATCGTTGCATTTTTACTAACGTCACTGTAGCCTCATTGTGACCTCACGTTAGCGCGAGTTTCTTCAAGCATATTTTTATCCGTGCGTATACCCGAAAATGGTATTCAAATAAATTTCACAGTCGACTTCTTAGAAAATACAAAAACCAAATGTAAATATTTGCAAATAAACACATTAATTTTTTTGCAAAAATTATTGCACTTAAACGCAATTAGTACTGCAATTGAACTCAATATTTGGCGATTTAGAGAAATGAAAAGTATTTCTTTCTCTGAACGGCCTCAGAAGGCTAATGTTAGTTTCCGACCGTCCAAAAACATCGATATTACCACAGAAATTGACTTTTTTCATGCCAGCATCTACTGTGACACTTGGTTTACTAGTGCGTATTTGATTTTATACTAAGGATCCGTGTCTGAGACTATAGAATGTAAAATACTATGCTATTTTGCCACTTATGCATCGATTCTAAAATATTTTTTATTAAGAACAATCAAAGATGTAGATTTTGACGTTTCAATATACTTATTACATGTATAAATGCATAGTTTATAAACGCTGCGGATACAAACCCCTTGAACTAAAAATGTATTATATCACTTCAAGATTTCTCCATGAAAAAGCTAAACTTTTCAAAAACATGATATATCGTCAAAGTATTTGGTATCAAAGTATTTTAATGGATAAGATTCTAGCTTCTACGTCAGGAACAGAAAGGATAAAGCCTTACCACTTCAACCATCTTTTTCACCGGGAAAGTGGCGGTTTTTGTACGTCCTAGCCATGCTCCAAGTGCCACGTTAAAATTACCGACAAACAAACAGACCAAGAGTATTGGAATCATAAGCGTGTTATCTCTCATGATGGCAAACTTGATTTGAGGCTAAGCCT